GGACCGACACTCAAGATTACTCGTGGAGAAAAGGTCTTAAGCATGCAAAGAGGCACCACAAGTAAGTGAATCCAGCATGAGATGTCACTAGGAGAAACACTCACATCATCCTATGCCCCTTTCAGAGCCTGCGCAAACCCAATATGACACTTCTGATTGATAGATTTCACGGTGCGAAGACCCATAGAGAACAAACGCAAAGAGATAGACCAACCCACAAGCTCAACTCTAGAATCATGAGAGAACCGACAAAGACGGAGATGAAGGTCCGGGAATATCAAAAATAATAAAACGAACAAGGTCGTCACCACAATCAGGAGGCTCTACAAAAATATTCTCATCATGCTGGCATTTAGAACGAAAGGCATGAGTATGAAGGCATACCCCACAAATCCAATTCATATCTTAGTGTCATCATTTTACAACTGTTATAATGTCGTTATTCAATTTTTGAAAAGATATTAGCATTTTCTAACGTACCCATGAATTGTTATGTAAATTGTAATTATAAATTATTCTTTTTATAAGTGGACATAAAAACAATGTAATTTTTAATTTTCAATCCTATTGCACATTTATATTTTACTCTTTTCGTGTAGATTTTTTTTTATAGTAAAATGATAAAAGAATTTTCTTATTATTTTTAATATAATTGAAAACTCCTAGTTCAACTCCAACTACAACAGAAGATTGGGAGAAGGTAAAAAAAATATAACAAACAGAATGAATTATGTAACCTCTAAAAAATACACTAACTTTCTTGCAAAATAAAAATACAACAAAATAATTTCATTGTAACCACCCCTCACACAGGCTGCAGTCCATAAATTAAAAAAAAAGATTAAATAGAGAAAAATTGAAATTCACAAACAAAGCTCCAAAAACGATGTGGAAGGAGTCTTTTTCGAACCCTTTTAATATATTTTAAGATGTAAATTGGTTAAGTGCATCAAGTTCCAGTTAAAACTGATCAAGACCAACTTGTACTAATGGTTTGATTGAGCAACTAAGTTAGCAAAACCCCTCATGTCTTGGCTTTTCACCACAAACACCTCATCTCTTTGCTTTTCAGTACAAACTCAAGTCAATTGAGTGTGGTCAATCCAATGGTTCAAATCGGTTATAACCTTGTTCATGAATGTTTTTATCACTAAAATTGTCGTGTGATTCATTTCATAACTGTTGGTGCCAAACTAAAATTCAGTTGTTTGTCAACAACACTAATTTTATTTGATTGTTGGGGTAACTCTCTTTGTCGCTACGAACCCCGGTGTATATCATAAACGTCCATCTCCAAATTTGGTGCCACGAGCTTTATCCTTGCTCTCTGCACCCTAGAAAACAACTCCTTAGTTGTGAATGATAAGGGACCCTCTGTTTTTCAAGTTAGATACTAGTATAAAAAAATTAAGGAGGGCCTTTGCTTATCTTCTCTATGCTTAATGATGGGTATGATGAGACAAACCTCGACCAATGGTTGTAGGTTTTGGTGTGTGCCTATAGGGTTCACCCTACTACCTTTAAAGGATTTTTGCGCCTCCCAAGAGTTCCAACTTTAGAAGGGAGTTTCAAAAGTTTTTATGAAACTTCAGGTGTTGTGTGGAATGAAGAATGTTTATAAAATGTTGGAGGTAGCCTACCCCTCCAAATTTGTCTTTATTTGGACACCAAGTTAGAAAGATAAGAACAAAACCTTGATTTGTTTTCTCTCTCCCATTGATCCAAATGCAAGGATAGTTTGTGGTACCTTTGGTTGGAGAGTTAACCTAGCAATTGGTAGATTTTATTAGTTTAACGGGCAACGTTAGCTTTTCATACCATACATTGTTTCTTCGGACAATTGAAAGCCAAGTAATCCATTCTTTCCACCTTTGAGATAAAATAGATTTCCATCCTCTCACTATTTATTGTTACTCTTCAAAAATAATAAACATAAGCCTTTTCCATGCATGGAAGGAGAGAGCCATCCATTGAAATTTCCCCCCCTCACATTTGACCTAGTTGTAGGACAGAATGATATTGATTTTGATATTCCTATCTAAGGAATATGCTTTCTATCATAATTTGTGAGCATTCTACAGGGTATAAATTAAGTAAAAAGCATAAGCAACTTTTGAGGGTAAGAATATCCCTCAAGAGCCTCGGTTCACAATCACTGGATCAAACTATGAGTCCCAGACGGATGACAACACTAATAAACCTAAACAAACTTCAATTCCAAGCATGGTGCGAGATGTTGGTCCGTAAGATCTTTTCACTCAAAGTCAAACCAACAAGAACACTTCTCTCTACACTTGTGTAAAAATCTCTCTCCCGCCCTCTTTTCAACCCTTGGGTATCTTCATATATTTATATAGGCACAAGTTCGGAAAAGCTCACGGTCGTGAACACGTCAAATGTAATGTGATCTTCATGCATCTTCTTTTTGTCCTGTTCTTGCTCGCAAATCACAGGCTAAAGATCCTAGTCGTGAACATTTATAGTGGTCTCACGCTAAAGGCACGCGAGTCAAACCAAAAAACCTTATGCTCTTCTCGTTGATGGTTTCCCGAGGTTCACGGACTTGGGACTAAAGATTTCGATTGTGAACTCTTCCATGTCCCGTGAACTCCAGATCACGCCAAAATGTTCATGGTCGTGAACCTCAGCCTTTTGCACGAGAACTTCCCTTGACCCATTTCCCTATACTTGATACCATAATCTTCTACATATGGCTTAAACACACACACGTTCACCTAATAATATGGATGCTAGGAAGCAAAAAAAAGGTTAGAATGCGAGTTTAAATCATCGTTAAAACAACATTGAGGAAGTTTGTCACTAGAAAAGTTGGAGCAGTTGAGAAAAGATAATTATGTGTTGGAATAACAAACCAGGAGATACAGGCAACTTTATTTTCAATGGCTCCATCCAAGGCACCAGGGTCAGATGGATGGTCTGCTAGCTTCTTCCAAAAGAACTGGCATATTGCTGGAGATGATGTTTCGAGGGGGTGAAAGAATTTTTTCGGACCAAAAGAATCTCTAAAGGTATGAACATAGTTTCTCTCACACTTCTCCCAAAAGCGCTACGGCTGAAACTGACTACATTTTGTCCTATTGCTTGCATAAATGTTATTTACAAAATAATTGCTAAGGTGTTGGCAAATAGGATTCAGCTTGTACTGCCTAGAATTATAAGTAGAAATGAAACGACATTTGTTAAGGGGAGGAGTATCCTCGACAACATTCGAATGGCTCAAGAAATGGTACAAAATTATAACAAGAAAATGTGGCTTTGATGTGTGCAATTAAGATTGATCTACAAAAAGCGTCTGATTCAGTAAGCTGGTTCTATACATCCAGTGTTCTGAAGCTAATGGAATTTCCTACTGAGTTTATATACTGGTTAAAAACATGTTAAGAATATACATTCTTTAGCGTCTCTCTATATGGTTCCTTGTTAGGTTTCTTCTCGACTAAGAACGGGGTTAGACAGCGGATCCCTTGTCTCCTTATTTGTTCACAATTGGTTCTAGAGCCACTCTCAAGTATGTTTGACTCAGCAGCATTAGAGAAGCAGATACCATACCATCCTCAGTGTAGATCATTTGGTCTAACGCATCTCTGGTTCGCAGATGAACTTCTGATCTTCACTGAAAGATCACTCGGTGAGGTTAAGAAGCTACAGGAGCGATTCAATGAGTTCTCTGGATTGGGATGCAATTTAAAAAATATTAGGTTTTCGTTGGGGGATAGGCCAATATGTACAAGGACAATTAAGGTTACAGGGTTCAAGGAAGGAAGGCTACCAAACAGGTATTTGGGTCTACTTTTGATTTCTGGTAGATTAACTAGTCGTAAATGCAAAGTATTAGCTGATAAGCTGACTAGTAGGATTAGATCCTGTAGGAAAAATACACTATCTTATGCTGGTAGAATCCAATTGATTTCTTCATTTCCCTATTCTCTAATTCGGTATGGGATGAATATTTTTGGCCTGCCCAAAAATGTCATAGCTCAAATTCACAAAATATGTTCTGACTTTTTATGGTATGGAGATGGGACTGGTAGAACTAAAATTGCTTGGTAAAATCTTGTTGTACCAAGAGAGGAGGGTGGAGTGGGTTTAAAGGAATTGCATAGCTGTAATATTGCGTGTCTTGCTAGATTAATTTGGCTCCAGATGCTTCAAGGGGGAAGCTTCTATGTAGCATGGATAAGAAGATATATGCTTAAAGGTCGCTCCTTTTGGGACCTTTTAGAGGAAATTCTTGCAATCTCGGAGTAGGTTTCAATATAGAATGACTGTTAATAATAGTGGTGAAAAGACCTAGGAAGGAAAGAATATAGCTAGATTCAATGTTCAGCAGGTATGGAACTCGATAAGGGTGAAAAGTTCTGTTGTGGAATGGTCGTTGCTGCTTTGGAGTAAATTTGTGATACCGAGAATCAAAAATATTGCTTGGCTGGTAATTCTAAACGAAGTCACCACTCGTGATAAGCTAAAAGAGTGGGGTCGGATAGTTGATGATGCATGTGTGCTATGCAAAGCTGCAGCTTAGAGTAGAAGTCATATTTCCTGTGAGTGTGCATATAGTAGAGATTTGTTCTTGAAGAGGGATTTTTGGAGTTTGTCTGTCAAACTGTGGCGATTTCCTGCAGAAAGCTTGAAAAATAGCCAAGAGCAAAGGTGCAAGAGGTCATACCTTTGCTTTGATATAAGCCTGGTATATCTGTCGTGTGTGGAAAGAGCGTTGCTGCTGTAGAGTTTTTGGAGGGCATAGCAAAACTAGGCAGGCATTTTTTAGACAGATTCAATATTATTTGTTGCTTGATTCATTGGGTAATCTGATATTTAGGCAAGAATTGATTTGTACTCTTCATTGGGGGATAATACTGTAAGAGTTGCGTGCTAGTCTGCAGCTGCAGCACTATGAACTGTGTCCTTGATTTTTTGGACCACCTTTGGCTTGTTGGTCAATAGAGCTTATTAGATACCTAATTACCCAAGAGGAAATATGCAATACATAATCCAGGACAAAGAGCCCTAAACCAATCCCATTTGTATATATTTCATGCAAACTGCTCATACAACAGCGCTCCGTTGTACAATAAAAATTGGACACATGAATGAATCATCATCTGAAATTTCTACACAAATGTCTACCCCATGCTTTCCCGGCAGAAATGCCAAAATGAAAACGAAAAAATAAATAAATAAATTGGAACCCAATCAAAGAAATGTTGAAGTATTGAATGATGCACTCTCAAACTACACAAATTGGATATACCCTAGTCCTGCCCCCCTTTTCAACGATATGAAGGATTTTACACATTTGCATCACAAAAGAAAGAAAAGTAGAATGACATGAAATAACTTTACAACGACACAATTCAAAACTGCGTGACAGCCTGCATAGGCTTCAAACTTGAGTACTTAAAAGCCTTACTCGTGTAAAAATTCGAAGGCTGGGTTCTCAAGCAGTTCCTCTGCTGGCTCCACGTCCGCAAAATCCTTTTCTTCCATCGAATTCGACAGGTCATCCACCGAGAATGGGATTCTGTAGTATCATAAGGACGAACATCCCATAGTTCAACCAGCCATGCTTCAGCAATAATATGTGTATAATAACAATACAATAAGCCAATGGTACCAAATAGGTCAGATATGTATAGGAAGTCTCACCCAGAATTGTCATCCAACAAGAATGAACTGCTGACTGCACTATTGGAGTCCTCTGTCATAAGTACCCTCATGCTGGAAATGACCTGAAGAGATAGTTATAGGCAAGCAAGTCAGCAAACAAACTGAGGAATGTAACCGTTGAGACAGATCTCTGGAAATGATCTGATGAAGCATTTGAGTAGTCAGAACTTACATCAGGGGACACACTTCTAGTGTTGTAGTTGTCATCCCAATACAGAGTACATATTCTGTACAGCTGTTGGACGCTCAGAATCTGAGAAAGAAGTTGGGAAACAAAGTCAGTTAGACACAAAATGAGAATCCTGCAGGTAGGCTTGATAAAGTTTAAAACAAAATTTGAGACACTTACTAGCATAAATCTCCAAATTCAGCCAGTTAAAAACTTAGGACAAGTAACTTATTATGTTAGAAACCAAGTTTCTAACAGATCACGGAATTGGGGAATTAGCTAGGTCAATGAGAAAATGACCAAGCTAGGGGTTTGAGAGGAAGGAAGTTGAGAGATCGAGGGGTTTGGGGAGAAGTGGTTGCCGCGGCAACCTTGGGGAAGGGAGAAGAAGAGAGAGAGTAGGATTAGGGTTGAATAATTGGTTCTGTAATTGCTTAATGAGAATAATCCCACTAATTACAGATTATATAGTCCGCATAGTTTCTATCTCCTACCCAACTAAATAAACATAACAATCGAATCCCTGTTTATTTCCCGAATTCCCCAAATAATCCCCCAATCATCAAAAACCGACGAATAATACTGAATAACCAAAAACTGCAATTAATGTGTTTCTAACATATTAAGTTATTATCGGGGAAGTTTGGAGTTCATGTTAGCAATTGCAAGGCAAAAGAAAGAGAAGGATTGCACAAGAAGTTAAAGTAAGGAGAACCGCTCAATGAAATCATATGGGCTACACTAACATCATTCTCACAGTAGGAGCATATAAAACAAAGACAGATGGCTGATAGAGTGCATACACATACATGCTAACTAGCCACAGATAGCAAACAGTCGGGAAGAGGAACTTACAGGGCATAAATCGTTGGTTATTTCATCATAAGATATCCTATACTTCTGATGTATAACCTGTGAAGACAGATGAGAAAACCAAAGTGAAAACAGGTGGGGGAAAATTAATAAATAAAAAAGTTGGTACTCCGATGTAGAGGAGAAAGATGACCAGCCACCACTAATGACATACCAAGAATCCAACAGCCTGCCTTATATGCTTAAGTTCATCCCATGATGAGCCTGCATACTGCAATCATGATATATAACAGCATGAACAAAATATGAAACCAAGAAATATGAAACGTTCCATGATGAGCCTGCCTTATATGCATGCATTTCATCAGTTTTGGAGGTGGGAGCAAAGCTAATGGGAGGAGCATGCCCGCAAGATTGCAGAAATATGAGGCCCCTAAGAGTTTGAGAACTGTATATATATTAATGTATTGAGTTGCACACTAACCCTATATCTGATGAAAATGAACTATAAATAACAGTGAATACCTCGTCCTTAGCTTGACAGCACCACTGCTCCAGTTCAGCTAATCCAGATTTGACATATTCACCGTTGCTAAATGTACAACACTCACGACGCAGGAGGAGGCTGGACACATACCATGAGCATTATACAAAGTTCATGTCCTAGAAAACAATTCCACCCTGAAATAATAAAATCCACAACTCACCTATTGAACAGTTGTACATTGATGTAAGAGAAGGTTTGTGTAAAGATTTTCTGCGTAAGGACTGGGGGCACCTGAAATCACATACAGTAAATGAGTACACCTGCGAAAGCAAGCAATATATATCTTCAGAGACCGTAAAAGAAAAAACAAGGGGAGATCATACAAAATTTTGTTTCAATGTGCTGAGAAGATTATTGAGACTATCAATAATGCCCTGCCAATGACTTGGTGCGGAATCCTTGCCAAATGACCTCCCAGATCTTAGTGCACTCCCCTTCGATGTTCTAGGTGCCTATAAAGAAGGTTTGATCATCATAAGAAACAAATTTCCAAGTCAAATTCGGAAAACTCACTACCCACTGTTACAAGACTTCAGGCAGAGACAGAATCGACTAGCACAGTCAAGTGAAACATACTTGGATGCACAAGGAAAGCAAAGACGTCAATTCCTTCTTCAAGTTGTCTCGAATAATCCCATAAATTTTCTCCACATATGCCGCAAGTTGTTGCTTGAAAAGCAAAGCTGGGTATTTTGCTTCCACTTGGCGTACTACTGTTAAAGCAATAGCAAGGCTATTGGAAGAAGGGGATGATCGAAAACCCTGTGATTCAAGGAAATCAACCCATATCAACTAACTGTTCTTGCAGTAGAACAACAATGTAGCTCAAGAGAAAATAACAGGAAACAACAAATTGTTGTACCATTGCCATTCTGCCAAACAAGGATGCAGCAGAAGAGGGTTTACGATTTGGAGTTGTGCCACTTGCACCAGCTGCTTTCAGACTTTTTTGCAGTAAAAACAATAAAGCAGAAGTATTTGATAACCAGTATGCCATATGGTCATTGTTATCTTCATTCTGCGCCCAAAATCAGAGTTGAATATTTACCTTCTTCAGAATCTAAGTTCCGAGTAAAATTTCTGATTGGAGCACAATGCTAATCAGTTACCTCAATAGCAGAACCAATCATTTGAATGAGACGATCAAATACACTAGTCCTTTCTGCTTCAAAAGACTTCCAATGGAGGAGACACTTGTAAATGGTAAATGCCGCAACTGGCTTTCCTTGACTAAACCCAATGTTGCCCATAACACAGTTGATAAGAGTATCGATGCTCTCCTGTATGAGGAAAAAGATATATAAGAGAAAACAAAACCATGCCAGATGGAGCAAAAGTGCTTGACAAAACATACATGTTGGCGTTCAATATGTGACCTCCTGAACTTGCTGTCCGACTCTGTACCATAAGATTTTACAGGTGTTGCACTCTGTGGTTCCTGCATACATAAATTAGTTCTTTGTAATCATAAAGTATAAGCCATTTGTACTGTATGCAGATTATCAGGTAAGTGCATTACATTGACGCGACTCTCCTCGTTACCATTCTCCAAGCTCTGTAATGGAAATGAAAAGTTAAATAAAGAGAAACTGGAACAAGTGGGGAAGATATGGTCATTAATATATTGAGAAGAAATACTTACGTGAGATGGTGGAACTGGCGGTCTATCAGATGGCTTCTTAGCAGGAGTCTGGGGTAGGCCCTTCTGCCGAAGCACATGGTACTCAGTTTCCATGTCCAAAAATTTTTCTTCAAGACTGTAAAATAGGCAAGAAAATGAAAGTTCATCACAAGCGAGGATAAGACATCTAAAAGCACACTATTTGCTGAATCAACTACTAGAGTGCAAGAAAAGATAACCCCTCCAACAATGCCATACCTATGCATAGCAGTCTTCAGTTCAACCATTTTTGACTCCGCCTCTAGAGCTTGCTTCAGCCTCTGTTCACTTATTCTGCTTGTCTCTTCAAACTTCTTCTCAGTTTCATCAATTTTCTGTTCCAATGAATTGACCATAGCCTGAAACGTGACAAAGTTTCTTGATTAGGAAAGCTTTAGTGATGTTATTATGCACACCTAAAACATTCTTAAGAATTCCAACAATACAAGACACATGTGAGGGGTCGATCATTACAAGAAGTCGCAGAAAGTAACATCCTCACCTTCAGTTTCTCATTTTCAGCTGTAAGCTTCTCCATCATTGCATTGTCAAACTACTGGGACCTCTTGTATCACGGGGACAATTTCTGCTACCTTCTTAGCAGCCTCCCGCTCCTTCACAAGCATTTCTTGGTTTCTTTGAACTCTAGTTGCATTTCTTGCAAAGCAGATTGTAGCTTCGTATTTCAAGTGTTTTAGCTTCTTCCAGATCAGCCTACACATCAAAATGAGAATATAGAGGCACAAATATATATTATGATAAGGTACACACAAGTTTCGAGGTAAATTTAAACCCACACCAAGAGTAGCTCATTTTCATATATTGGATCGCTAGGTTGATCGAATGTGGTCATGAAACATTGGGTCAATTCTATAATGATGGAAACTTCAAAATCCATTGGTTGGTTGGTCTATTAAGGGGAAGGAATTTGGGAGAAACTGAATCCACTTTCCATTTGGAGATGGAATCTAAATTTCATGGGGCAAAGGTAGGATTCTCACCTGGCAAGGTTAAATTCCATAAGTGCACTTGTTTATTTAAGTTAATTAATTGATAAAGGGATAAAAATGATTTTCTTAAAAGAACCATATGAGTCACTTTAAAAAAAATTAAAATGCACCTAAATTATGTAATGTCCATATCCGTTCCTATGACGTTCCATGCTTCTATGTTCCATGAATCGTACATATTCCATGGATCGCAAGATCGAGTGAGCCAAACATCAAAAAGGTCATGACTAACAAAGTAGCTTTCAGAATTTTAATGAATTGGCATAGTTAAGAGCTTTTACAGAGAAAGTGGTAATGGTACATACCCTCATGCGTTTCTCCAGCTGAAGTCTCCAGGTCAACTCTTCAACTTGCTTTTCCAACTTATTCTTGGCTGCCTGAAGTGCTCCAGTTTCTCTAGCAGCCTGAAACAAAAGTTCAAAGGATGTCCAAATTTAGCACAGTAAAGGGGCAAAGAAAAGCAATGCCTTGAACTGCTTAACAAGGAGAAGTAATAACACATACAGTCCCAAATAGAAATAACTTTTGCAAATTACATAAATGTTAACTTATGCAGTAGCTCAGGCTCCTCAAATGGAATTCAACCAGACAACAGCATGGACTACCAAACGGCTTCCAAGTTACAACAAGCAGTATAATCTCTCTTTGCGCAGAAAAAGAATGAGCATGTCATGTTCAGCATGAAGTGACCCCTTCATTCAATGCAGTGACAGATAATAAAGGATCGATCATGAAATTAAAATCACTGAACAACCCCATTAGCAACAAACAAAATTAGTCAAGGAGGGAAATATATTACCATCTTAAGTGTTCTCAGTTCCTTACGAGCAATTCTTCCTCTCCATGCGCACTGTGTTGTAATTGCTGCTTTCTTCAATCTAGTGTACTGCAACCAGGCCAAGTATCTGCGACAATGACTCTGAGTACAGGAAGACAAAGGTCAACTTCTACACACAGAAAATATATGATGGACATGAGCAAATAAATAATAAAAATAGGTTTACGAAATCCTGTTATTCCTATATGTGCCCTACATTGCAACAATTGGTGAAACTGCTTTTATGAACTATTTGAACTTAGTGTTTTACTGCTCAAATGTTCTTGCCTGAATTATGATTGCCGCTCTTGTCTGCCTTCTGAATCTTAAGTCTTCACGGGCAGCCATCCCACGAATTCCAGCTTGAATGGAAATAGCAGAAAAACATATTTCTCTGTAAGCTTTTCTTGCAACATACATGCGCAAGTCCGTTTGGATCCTGAGACAAGCAGCCTTTCTTCGCATGCTCTCATAAAGCACCCGAGCAAGCTGCCCTGTAGTATAGACAAAAGAACTCGCAACAGTTTAGACAAATCCTCAAAAGTTTACAGCAGGGACAGGTACGAGTCAAAGATGCATCAAAGCAATTGCAACACAACAGAATACCTCTGCATGCAGCTTGCATTTGTACAGCAGAGCGGCGGATGAGGATAAATGTTCTTCGAGACAGATATGCACGGACCTTCCTCTGAATGATACTTGCTGATCTTCCTAATACTTCAGTCCTGCGAGCATCTAGTTCTGCCATTTGACCAGCCCGGAGAAAAACCTTTGTCTTACCAATCTACAATGTCAAATTTGTTACAGCATAAGAAAGTGGAGAGCTTTTTCTTATCATATTAGCTGCAGAACTGCTAAGCGCATTGCTTGCTGAAAATTTTGAATAAAGCTTCAATTGACAGTATTCCTACGATCATCCATCTCTAATGCCCCACATCACTATGACTAATAAACATATAATTCATCAAATTTAAGCCAAATCTCACATTGCACGCACAAGATTGAGCAACTGAGTACACAAAGAGCAACCTATATTATACACCTCAACTATAAAGTATTTTTTCACTAGAAAGAGACTAACCTGATAGCCGTCAAGCCTGACCTTCTCCATAAGCTTCTTGCATGCAGTAACTTCATCATTCCTAAAATCAATATTTTACCACAAGAAAAATTGGTGACAGCAATAACGGATAATAACTAGAAAAACAAAAGGGGACAAGAGAGTTTGGTACCTTCCATCTAATACTTCAGGTGCTAGAATACCAAACCGATCAACAAATTCATCAAATGGCTTTCTAGTGGGATACCCAGCACAACTAATCCTAATTGCTTCCATAACACCCTAATTATTAACAAAACATTATTAGTAGGTCAGTTTCGACTGCAAAAATGGCCTATTCCATGAGTTTGAGCACAATCTCACCCCACAACGCAGTTGCTGAAGAACATTCTTGCTCTCAAAGATAGCTGGTTTGAGTAGATTATTGGGCTTCACACAACGAATATAATGTGGCTCTGTTGAGCTGAGGGTTTCAAGCAAAGATACCAATTGTTGCTGCATAGTCAAAGAACAACAATAGTTATCAAGGGTTCTTGACGCAAAAAGATATATATAAAAAATTTACCTTAAAACGGGAACCTATTGAAGAAAACTTTGATTTATTGGAGGATTCTTCAGGTGAAGGCGGGAACAAGCTGGCAACAAAGGCACAGGTCGAAGCATTCAAGAGCCCCTGATGTTCAGCAACAACATAATCCTTATTCTTATCCAGGAACAACTCTGTTTGGTATGTAACCTGTTGACAAAGTCAAAGATTTAAATTAACAAAAGAAGATTGATTCCTAAAGATATAGAAAATATATGAGCACCGAAATGGCAATCACTTACATCGCCAGCATAGTGGTGAATAGTGAAGTCACTTCGTGCTAGTTTTGGCTTGCTGAACCTCTTATGATTGTTAAATGTCTGATACAACTTCTGCGCAAATGTTTCATTCGTTGATCTTGGAAACATACTGCATAAAAGTAAGAGTCAAGACACGTACGCTATCAACAACTGATAATATTCCAACAAAAAGTACTGTCTCCTCATCGATGTACATTCAAAGAAGAAACAAGGTAGCAACCATACAAAAAACCAAACTTACCAAGCTTCATCCAGAAGAGCAATTATACCGCCGGGTTTCTGAAAATTAACACACAAAACAATGAATTCTAAACATATGAAAACAGGAATCACAAGTGTTGGATAAATATTTCATCATGGTGTCCTATTTTTCTTTGGATTAGTGTAACATTGCACGGAAAGGAAGCAAGAAAGAGAAAAAAGGCCAACCACTTGGTACAAACAAACCTTTTCAATAAGATCTAGAATATCTTGATTATCAACAAACTCAATGTAGCTCCAATCAATTTCTTCCTTGGTATATTCTTCTTGCTCCATTTTAAAAACATGCTGCATGATTCATACATCAGAATCATTCCAAGTGTGAGAGTAGAATGATGATGCCAAGTTAACGAATATCTCCTGTAAAACATACCTGATTGAAATGTTGCTGAAGCTTCTCATTGGTCAAATTGATGCAAAATTGCTCAAAACTGCAATAAACAATCAGTGCAGGAACAAGATGATAAACACCAAACTTCATGTCAACTAAAAGCCAAATACAAAGTGTTTAACGTCCCTAGTCAAATTTTATTCTCTAAAATCAACGCTTCTTACTAATGATACCAATATGTTGTCCCATACTTTCCAATGCCTCGGACAGAATATCATTTGAGACATGGAAATAGGACAACCATTATCTCTTCTACGAACCAATTGCTTCCGCAAAAGAATACAAAAATCATGCCACATATGCACCTGTTTGTCTTGAAACTCTCAAATCCATAGATATCCAGCACTCCAATTAAGACCTTTGAGTTAGGGTCCTGCCCGATTGAATTATTAATCTTGTCCACAATCCTGCATAAACAGGGGTAGAACATAAGATCTATTTCACAATCCTCCATAACATTACGCCGGTCTAGTTTGTCACCCAACACTTACCAATCAAACAACCTTGAATACAGAGTTTTAGCCAGAGCATCTCTGCTAAGAACTGCAGATTCTGGGTCTAGCCACTTTGTGATCGTTTCATCCCGAGTCACAATCACACGCTTACAAAGAGAGTCTTCTAGAGCCTTCACATCACACCTGTAAAAAATGAAAATTTCAATACATTAAAGACCATATAACAAAACATCACATTCAGAGGGTGTGTTTGTTTAGACTTTCCTAAAATATTCTTTCAGGAAAGAAAAACTATGAGTGCAAGCAAACGAACTTTCATTCTGACTTCATAAACTAACTATTCACACTATTTCTACAAATTATTAAAACCTAAAAGTCACCTCAATTGGAGAAAATTCATTTCCATCCTTACCTTCTGAAATAAAAATATATTCTTATGTGTGCACCAACATTAGTCATTTCCGAAAATCCACTCATTTTTCATATCGTTAAACAAACTATTTACATCCCATCAATTACTTTTTATTACCAAAAAATATCTCACGACTCATCAACTCAATTTTGTCTAAAAGTAAAAACAAATACACCCTTCTTCATCTACTTTTCCTTCCTAAAAGTCTCTTCATGAAAGAGAAGTCTAAACAAACACACCCAGAACATAACATGAGCCTTGCTATGCACAGCAGCTAACAAATTGCATATTTACATCAATAACTCAGATGCAGTTGTCAGGTGGAAGTGAGATTTCTCATCTTTGGGCAGTGACGAGTCCATCTCCTTCCCTTTTGCAAATTCGATGTTCCCAAGATGAAGAATTGCAGCCACAACTCGAAATATAGCATCCTGGATACATTGATAGACAGAATTACGTACGCTTAGGAGAACACACCTGGAGACTAGATTTTCACCATTGCAATACCTGCTCGTCGTTACTTATGCCAACAATCTCCATCGCCCTTCTAGTATCAATATACTCCTTAGAATCATCAACCCCGTCCAGTTCATAGCAGTTTGATTGATTCAGATAGTGGAAAGTTCTTGGGTTTCCCAATTTGTACTTTTGAACCTCCTGAAATGTTGAACCAAAATTTTCCTCCAACATCAATTACATTTCAGTTTCCAAAGACTGTCTAAATCCTTAGACATGTTGAGCCCAAAACATTAGTAGACGTGATACCCATTCAATCTTTTTGTATGAAAAAAGCAAAGGAATAGAAGAATATTTACCTCAGGCGGTGCAGCACAAAGCATGTAGAAACAGTGATAATTTCTCTCAGGATCAGAAACCTGACAAACACGTGACCTTTCCAGCAAATAAGTTCTGACTGCAGCTCCTGAAATCCTTCCCTTCTGGTCAAACTGAATCTCGACGAACTTACCAAAACGACTGGAGCATTAAGTGCAATAAGATACGAGTATAAAACAAATAGGAGGAAAGATGAAATATAAAAACATCTCTAAAACATTGAGTTTCACACCTTGAGTTGTTGTTTCTAACAGTCTTGGCATTACCAAATGCTTCCAACACAGGATTTGACTACAGTGGGAGAAGGCAAATTAGATATGGTTATGCTAAGGAATTAAAGAACATTACTAAAACATCTTTTCTACGCATCAGAGAATTGTGCGACTACATTACCTCAAGAACTTGTTGTTCGACAGTCCTTCCCTCTGTAGCAGCTCTTCCTCCCATGTAAGCAAGATACCGCATGAGCAATTTTGTACTTTCTGTTTTACCAGCACCACTCTCACCACTGACTAAAATTGACTGACTGATCCCTTCATGTATCATCTGTCTGCATTAGCAGCAATGATCTACCATTGTTAAACAAACGTAAGAAAAAGTTGAAAACCTGAATTAAAAGAAAGAGTACCTGTATGCGGCATCTGCAACAGCAAAAGGATGTGGACTCAGCTCACCAAAGGCAGCACCTTTATATTGCGCCATCATATGGATATCATAGAGATGCGGTAGCCTCATAAATGGATTCACAGCTATCAATATACTCCCAGTGTAGGTCTGCAGGCAGCAATAGGTAAACCAGCTTTGACTACATAGTCAAAGAATGAAAGAAACACAGAATGGACACAACATATCATGTATGGGAACACTTACATAAATTTCATTCATATCATATCTAGATCTGAGATTCTGCAAGACTCCGGGTTCATGCAAGTAAGATAGTCTTGTCATATCATCCACACCGCATGGTGGGGCTTCAGTGTCTATATGATACACATTGGAAGCCTTGACAGCAACCTAGTAGTTACATATCAAGAGAGAAAGTGCAAAGCATGAGTCTGAAAGTCAATGCAAGAAAATCCAGGCAGGGATGCATAAACTAACCACAAATGCAACTCAAAAGATGAGATGAGATAACAAGTGAACACATTTCTGGATCCCATCAGTTTCTCTAGTCTACATTGAAATGTATGACTGTTACAGAGCTATAAGTTCTAGACACTCACTGTTTTTCCTGATGTGCAGAGGACCTTAATATCTTCACCCTTGATCTCCACGACTTCACCATCAATCCAGGCTGTGTCAGGATCCTCCACCCAAACAAGGGACCCAACAGCCAGACTAACACTAGCAGCCTGAAATTCAAGACCCTATCAAATGTCAATGGCTGCAACTTCAATAACGTCTATCATATGATGTACAAGATTACCTCACTTCTATATCGAAGGAGACAAAAATAAAAGTGCTAGTTACATGGTTCATACTTCATACCCAACCATTCTGAGACAACAGAAAGAATGTTCATTGCTTTCATTTGCCAACTATTTTGTTGGAGAATGAATGTAACACATAGGAATTGCTTTCCCTGGTATAGTACATTAATGGTGTCACTCCCGAACAAAATATTTCCGCCCACAAACATTAGTCTTGCCTAGTGGAAACCACTAACTGATGTTCCAACCAGGAAAGATTAATTACTGCAGTGAACTTTTAATCCCAACGAAACCCAGGTTATAGAACTTGAAAAATAACAGAAAGAAAGAAACCACAAATGAATGCATCAAAAAGAAAGCCCATATTCTGGGACAAGGATTCTTGAGCTAGTTCTAATTACCAAACATTACAAGGTAACAGTATGAAAATGCAGCGAAATAGAAGATAATCCCAGACACTGCGTTTCAAGATACCCTAATTAAAGAAAAAGGAATTTACTTAATATCAATCTCCCAGTCCACCTGGCAGAACGACAGAAACCAGAGGAAATATCACACAAATTAGAAGGTAAATGGCGTATCTCAATCCATGGCCAGGTAATTAACTGATACTCCAGAGCTACCAAGTCAACTCAAATTTGATAGAAGTGGGAGGGGGAATCCTTTTCGTGGCACTGCATCTGATCAATATTCATGTTTCCAACCAAACCTCTCAAACACAAACCAAATTCTCGCACATCCACCATTGAAACCACCCCGGCACAGTCAAATGAAATGTTCCCAAGAAACCACAGCATTTACCACCAACAACTTCGCCGGAAACTCCTGCTTTCAGAAGCAATACGCAAACAAATACCGCAGCCAATACTAACAAGTCTATTTCCCACGTAGATCAATAAAGGCTAGTGAACAGCAGGAGTGCAAAGAAAGTAGAACAGATCGGTCCACCGACCAAGTCAAATTGGCAATACAATCACACGAAAGTAGATGAATTCGTCAAGGGGGGGAAATTATTAAACTGCGAGTACCATTTCCAAGCGGAGCTAATCAGATCTAGAAACTCTGAGCAGCTCCTCGATCTACTGCCGCGGCCTCCCGCTGCAAACCATCCAGCAGCCGAGCACGAGAGTGCTGAGCTAGTGCTCAGCTTTCAGTCTGCACGTCTCTCCGTCCTTGTACAACCTCTCAAGAGCTAGAGCAAATTTACAGACAGACGAAAGCTTGCGGTACGGGTGAGAGTTTTGAAACGGAAGCGGGAGGGAGAAGGACAGAAATTTCTTGGTCCTCCTACCAATCAACCCCCGGTGGAGGAAAAAGGACTTCAAAATATGCACACAAAAAAACAAAAATCGAACACGAAATGGGGGAGAAGCTAAAACCCAGCGAAAAAAAGAAAAGAGTGAGAGAATCGGAGAATTGAAGCCTCTTCCCGTCTACTCCTCTTACTTCTTTCCCTCTGTTCTGTTGTGAAGAATCAAACCATTAGTTGAGTTTTTTTTTTTTTTTTTTAATTTTTTTCTTCTCCGGGTTTGTTTCCTTAACGTGTGCTGTTTTCTTTTCTTTTCTCTTCCTTTCGTTTTCCTTTTCTGAGTCCCTTTGCTTTGATTGATTCCGGGTTTGGTGCCAGAGTTAATCAACTACCCTACGGAGGGGAAAAAATAATTAAAAGAAAGAAAGAAAGAAAGGTCGTGTGAATTAAGATAACTAGGTAGATTTTGGCACCGTAATTATCATTTATTTATCAAGTGGGAACGGAGTCCAGTAGTGCCCTTCGATTATCAGCGCGTCAAGTTTACCGACAGCTAGGACCTGGCAGGGCCGCATCAAATTTTTGAGTCCATTGACGCGGGGAAAGGGAAGGCATAATGGGGAGGTATCTGTCGGAATCTTTTCTTACGAGATATCAAACTTAAGGAGGTGCTAGATACTTGTACCTAGTTCGGTGGAAATTAGGCCAAATTTCATGGGCTTGTTTCTTACCTGTCATTTCATGAAAGAAGAAACACAACAAACGAGGGCTTAAAGATTAAGAGAAGCTTATGCCCTATGGTGCTTAGATGGTGTGGAATTTATCGTCCGACTACAATTCAGCGTTAAACATTTGGTGTTCATTGTAGGAACATGTTGAAAAAACCTGTGATCCATGAATGATAACTCCCCCTCGTCGAAGAAGAAATTGAACTCGAAGACCGAGTCAAGGATCACAAGAAGCAAATCTCGAACATGCAAGATAGCCTAAGCCAAATTCTGACATTCTTAAAAGGGGAAGGGAAGAAGAACGAGCCAGAGATCTCTAGGGCAAAATAGGAAAACGCAGAAGCTCAAGACCATTGCCTTGTCGGATAGTCCAAACCCTCACAAATGGAAGAGTCATAGGAGGAGCACGTAGAGTATGACCTCAACTTCCTGGAAGAGCAATTAAGATCATCATATGGGCAAAACAAAGGGCCCAATGTACTCCACCACCCACTCGCCCAAAGACTGTTCAAGATGCAAGTCCCGCCTAACTTTTCCTCGTTGGGATTGCCAACATACAACTGCAACACCGACCTAACTAACTACTTGAGCGCGTTCATGCTTAAAATGTAGCTCCTTAACGTGTTGAATGCCTGCACTAGGCGTTCCCAATCATGTTCAACAGGCGCTGCATGACTTGGTTTTCTTCGCTTCATGAAGGTATCATTGAACTCAGGATGTCAACGCACAACAATGAACTCAAATGTGCGTTGATCAAGAAAGAGCATTGCCTCAACTCATGGCCAGAACTTGACAAACTAGTGTGACACGCTATCACACTAGAAGAAGCGTTAGCATTGGAGGAACCGATCAAGATGGGTCAACTAAAGGAAGAAGGGTATGGGTGCAAGGAAGTAAAAGGGATGGCTCGAACCCCAAAACGCAAAGGGCGATCCCTAGAAAGAAGAATATACAAGCAAAGGGTTGCAGACTGAGATGCCCACGGAGAGGTGTATGCAACAAATATAAGGGATGAAAAGCAAAGCGATGGGCACAAAGAATCTCATTCAAGAGGGAAGCCGGACTCTGGAGACCGAAGTGATGTGACTGGCATTAGATGGCTGGCCTTAGATGGGTTCATCCGACACAACTGACTGCAAAGAACTAAGATTTAACCTACAAAGCTTGGCTCCCAAGGGCCTTAGAAATAGACTTGACGCTCACGAATCCCTGCATGAATGTCTCCATTTGATGTCGCCTGGTGCTCCACCGTGATAGCAGGCACATTTGGACAATGATGATAAGGAGGTTATAACAATTTCCGAAGGGTATAAAAAAATGCCCTCGCCAAGTAAGTGGCCTAGCACATTGCTTGCGCATAAGAACCAAAGAGCAAATCGAGATTGCCATTATCCCAACGGAGCTCGCCGATGAAGAGTCCATGATAGATTACTGGCTCTAAACAGCAATCCCAATCAATATCCAAGTATAACTAGAGATCGATTGCAATATAGTGGAAGTAAAATAATAAAATTTTGAATCCATGGGTCTCTAAGTGTACTATTACTCCGCTTCGGTTTGTTATCTAGCCAAGCAAATTAATGATTGAACAACTAAACTACTCTAACAAATTCACTAAGGTTAGACAAACTAATTACCGTTGAGAGCTCATTGGGGTCCCCCTAGCCACTATCGGATTAATGACGCATGAATCTCTAACTTCTTCCACTCTTCATTCACAATGCGGGGAATTCTTGACTAGACCTTGAATCTTGATTACAGCAATCAAGGCCTTCTTGAGTCAATCGCTTAGAGGGATATACCCTTCTCTAACACGACCAATCAAGGCATTCTACACTAGATTCCCTCTATTGGTGAGGTTCTCACTCAAGACAAAGAATTGAATCGACTCACTCGTGTTATTAATCCCCTATTCCCAACCTATGCTGCTCTAATAGACATAATCATGTATTCTCTATAAGTCAATAGCAAAATCAATAATATCGATTAAAGCAAAATTGAACATCAAAACATGCACAGATTGGATATGAAATCGAGTTTGGGAAGAAAGAGTACTAATATAATCATCAATTCGACACTCACATAGCTAGAGTTCTTCAAAAACCAAGAGAAGGGAGATTACCACATAAAAAAAGAGGAAATTGCATATATCTACTCTAAGCCTTCGATTCCTACTTCCAAGCTTGTTCTTCGAGCTTCCTTGGTGATGAAATTTCCCAAAATCGCCCTTGGAAAACTTGTTCCCTTTAAGGTTCGTTCTTAGGTTGTTTGAGAACCAAAACCCAGCCTCCTCTCTCAAAGATTGCAAAAATAGCTTTCATCCCCAATTATAGTGCACCACTCAAGGGCAGGCTCACGTTTATGGGCTATTCACGGGTAGGTCCAGGGTCGTGACTCAAGTTGTGACCAGCCCAAAACTCGTATATTTCTTTTATCGTTAAGGGGCAAGTCACGGTTTGGTGTACTAATTCGTGAGCATTGGCTAAGACATGTGTTGCAAGGCCGTGACATGAAAAATTTTACTGTTTCTCGGTGCTAAGTCATGGCTAGGATGCAATAGTCATGTCCCACATCATGACATGACTCCCTCAATCCTTGGCATGGCTTTCTCAACCCTTTTCCACTAAATGCTTTGAAACTCGTTCCTAGGCTCCATACACGTACTAGGACCTGAAATATGACAAAAAAAGAAAACTCTAGCGGAAAATAGGACAAGGAACGAATAGGATCAAGCAAAATGCTCAAGAAATAATTATGTTCGTATATGAAGATCCGCTAGTTATCACCTACAGAACTGGAAAGTAAAAGGTCACATGCACCATAGTGGATAATGGCAGCCGAACATACATACTCTTCTATTCCATGCTCAAGAACACGAGGAAGAGCATTGATGACCTATGCCCATACACCATAAGCCTCATCGGTTTATCTGACTCCAAAATTGACGCCTTAGGCGTAATCACCTTGAAAGTGAACATCGAGGAAGCGAGAATGACAAAGACCAAGTTGATGAACTTCCATGTGGTAGAATGCCCGTCGGCTTACAATACCATCTTGAGATGGGGATTCCTTGCCACATTTGGTGCTATACTGTCAACATGCCATCAAATGCTAAAAATTCTGAGTGGGGGACTTCTTGAAGTGCAAAGGGAAACTCACAGCAAGCAAAGGAATGCTACCAAGCAATCGAGCAACTCGAGGTGGACCTTGTGGGCCCAAAAGCAAATGCATCATGACCACAGGAGATGGAAGGAAACATTGTCATTCCACTCTAGGATGAAAACCCATAAAAAGATGGTATGCATATCGTCACACCTCCCTAAAAACCAAGCGCACGAGCCTCTCGAACTCCTTAGGAAGTATGAAGACTTGTTCTCTTGGGACCGGAAGACATATCGAGAGTCCCGAAAGATTTGGCTGAGCACGAGCTCTCACTAAAGTCGGTCACGAAGCCTATATCGAAAAAGAGAAGAACATCTCATTTGAAAAGCAAATGGCCATGGAGGAAGAAGTTAAACGCCTCTCAAAGGCAGGGTTCATCAAAGAGGTTTGGTACCCCACATGGGTGACAAACCTTGTATTTGTTCACAAAAGCACCAAGTCGCGGAGAATGTGCATTGATTTCACTTGTCACAACAATGTTTGCCTGAAAGATGTGTATTTGTTTCTAAGTATAGATCTTATCGACGCCACGAGCAACCACGAAACTCTAAGTTTTTTGGACATTTTCTCTATGTACCATCATATATGCTTGTCTCCAAAAAGGATCAAGAGAAAATGCCATCATAACCTTGATGGGGAATTACTACTACACGGTGATGCCTTTCAGCCTGAAGAACGTGGGTGTCACATATAAGAGGATGGTGGATGCAGTTTTCATAGACTAGCTTGGGAGAAACGTAGAAGCCTATGTCAATGATGTACTAGTCAAAAGCAAAAAGGTCGACGATAACCTAGCGAACCTTGAGGAAACATTCTATAATTCGATATAAAAATGTTCCCCTTTCTTTTAAGTGCTCCAAAAATCTGCCTCCCGATTCAAGTGGAAAAAAATGAAGTGTGACATTCAATCAATTGAAAGATTAGCTTATAATGCCCCCATCCTTAGTCCTTTTGTACACATAGAGCATTTATTCCTTTACCTAGTAGTCTCTCTTCAAGAAGTCAGTTCTGTGCTAGTCAAAAAGTATGCTCCTAATGGTCTCGATCAATCGGTGTGTTAGGTTAGCAAGGCACTTCTAGCAAAAACATGGTACATGCCAGTGGAGAAAGTGGTCTTAGCTATAGTCACTGCCGCTTGAAAACTTCACCCCTACTTTCAAGGAGACCAAGTGATAGTGTTATCCAACCTCCCTCTAAAACCTATCATGCGGGGGCACACATTCCTCTGGAAGTAATGACTAAGTGGATCTTAGAGCTTAGAGAGCATGACATTTACTGTGTTACCCGCCCCGCAATAAAAGGTCAAGTCCTAGTAGACCTTGTGGCGAAAGGATTCAGCTTATAAGAAGCTTCCAAAACCAACAAAGATGAAGGATGGAGATTATCATGGATGGGCTTGCTGGAAAAGGAGGAGCGAAAGTAAGCATAGTAATTGAAACCCCCAAAGGTGTGGTACATGAGTTTTCAATTTGGTTC